ATCACCGAATCTGATGATTGATGAAACTCTTTCACGCATAATTGATAAACAATACAATTTCACAAACATTAGAATGAGCTGGATTAGGAGATTAAAAAAAAAATTGAGGCCAAAAAATTTAAAAAAAAAAAATTCAAAAAATTGGGGGGGTCCTGTCCCCTCCGCCCCTACATACAATCAATTTTTATCAAAATTTACTAAAAATCTTATTTTTATCTGAACCAAACAAGAGATTAATCACGGAATTGAAGGGTCCAATTGATGATGTATATTTGGCTAGGCTCTAAAAAACAGAAATCAAAGTCAATTTGAAGTAATTTTTTATTTCAAACATGTTGCCTAACTAATTTTCTTTTAAATAAAAAAATGGAAAAAGAAAAGTCATATATTTTAAAAATAGTTTTCCAATAAAAATATGTTAATTATTACTATTTTTTACCAATAAAATAAAAAAGTTATTTACTTTAGCCAAATATTGGTCATAAATTCCTCCTTTTGAAACACACACACACACACACACACACACTAATGAAGTATAACATTTGGAAATTGACCTGAAATTCACACCGTACAAGCATCAAACTCTTCAAATGCGTACATTCAATAATCTCAGTTCTTTCAAGTTTTAAGAAACCAGACTTATAAGAAAAAAAGAATAATATTATATGGAAAAAATTTAAGTAACATGAAGCCACACAATCTAACATAAAGTTTATTACAAGCAATATAACTTAATTTGATTTTATTATCGTGCTAGAATTTTGACATTAAGCTCGATGCACAACGAGAAGTTGATAGGGTTATGATCTTTTCGTTTGAGCTCCAAACAGAATGCTATAAGGTTGAAGTGTGAAATCCTCGTGTGGAATTGGGTTCCTATCTACTCAATATTGTATCCTCTATGCACACGTTGTTTGATCGAGACGTGATCGAACAAAAATATATCTACAAGATTGATGTACAAAATCGTAAAGGGATGAGAATTCCAACAACATTTAGACCAGTATATTCAATGCTCTTTTAACCGAGTCTTAATCAAACAAAAATATAATCTCGTCAAATAGATGTACGAATATCGTAAAAGCATGAGAATTCCAACGAGATCTAGACGAGCGTATTCAATACTACCGTTTTAATTGACGATTACATTGACGACATCTATAACAATACGAAGACAAAAATAAAGTAGGATAAAAAATTTTAATTGATAAATAAATAACGAAAATAACACATTACAACGGCTTCTGTTTGTAACACCCCTGGGCCCTTCCTTATAACCCGGTCCAAACTTACTTGGGCTTCTTTTAACATTATTAACCAAATCCGCACACCTCTGTAGTTTATTTCTTTCACAAGCCGCCACAGATTTCCCTCTCTTAAGCTAGGGTTTCAGGTCTGTCCTCTCGCTCTCTCCCTCTCTCTCTGCATATATGTATTAACGTTATGAACCAAAAACCTAAGGATTTTTACCTTTTCGCAGTAAGTTATCGATGGATCTATGAAGTTCATATTTTTTTCATAATTTTTCACGCCACAATTTTAGCTTTTCAGTCGTATATATCAGTTTTTTGGGTCTTTGCTAGATTAATGTATATTGTATGCACGAGATTTTTTTTTTTTTGGTTTACTCAAAAATATTTTTTCCTCTTTGCTTTGCTTTGCTTTGGTATTTATTTATTATTATTTCATGGACTATGTGTTCGATTTCGAGTCACTTGATTCTTGAACTTTGGAGCCTTTCATTTTTTGTATTTTCAAAAACCTTAGAATTAGAATAATATACATGGATAATGTTAAATTGGTCTTCTTTAGCAGGGTGTTTTGATTGAAGATGTCTCGCGTATATGTTGGAAATTTGGATCCGCGAGTAACTGAACGAGAACTTGAGGATGAATTCCGCACTTTTGGAGTTATCAGAAGGTGAAAAGCTAGAGTTTTTATTATTGTATGTAACTGGGAATGTTGTCTAAATAAAAACTGGACTCGTTAAGGAATTTCTGTATTAGTTCCGCATATGTTCCCCTTGACTATGCTAAAATAGCATGAAGTTATCAAGGGGAGTGGAGATTTTCCCAGTTCTGGTAGTAGCACTCGTATCTTAATGAAGCATTCTGAGCTATCTTGAATTAGATGTTTGCTGCTTTGATTGTGAGATGTGATGTTAACGAGGCTATCATTTAAGTAAGTAGGATCACTTTTTTGGCATACTGTTCCCTCTATTGTTACCTATAACACTGTGCTATTCTAAGAGGTTGACGGGTTAATAGTTGTTTGCTCCTATCTGTCAAAATAAGCATTCCCATACCTGTCATAAAAGTGCATTTTCTTTATGTTATATGAAACTTGTTGAATTCATTATCTTGCACATCAAGAAGATAGTCTGTGTGTTATAATGTAATTATAAACAGTTGAAAAACAAATATCTTTTACAAGAAGAGATAAGATTGATCCTTGACTCAAAAGGAAGTCAGCATGGATCGCTGGATCTTCTCAATTTACTCTCCTAGATATTAGTGTAGTTTGCATGTTTTTCTTTTTCTTTTTCTAAATTTCAATGTTCTGTGCAGTGTGTGGGTTGCAAGAAGACCCCCTGGCTACGCTTTCATTGATTTTGATGATCGGAGGGATGCCCAAGATGCCATACGAGAGATAGATGGTAGGACTATTGAAATTTACATTGTGAATATATATATTTATTATGGTCCAGTGATCATCTTGTATTGCGGCCGGGAATTGATATGCCTGGAATTTGGAAGATTCCTCTCTATTTGGTGGGTTTGTTTTCATGGGAATTTATGTTGTCTACTTGATTTTACTTATGCATTTTCAATTTGAAGACACTTAGTTGTTTCACATTTTTTCCATTACACAGTGGGACTAGTGTAGAAAATTGACCTTCATCCTATTAGAATGAGGTTAATGATAATAAGATTGCATGCATTTAAATAATATAAATTATTATTGGTCTTTCAACACGAATCTTCACAAGTAGAACTTCAGGATGCCTAGATTGCATTGCATCCAAGTTTCTTTGTTTCCAATATCTGTCTTGATGCTGGACACTCTCCCGTTCTCCGAAGTGCACGAGAGGGCGTCCAGTGAAGTGGTATGGTGAGTGTTATAGAAAAAACAATTTCTATCAGGTATATCAAAATTATTTATTGCCTCACATGTTGATTCAATCATTGAATTTTAGTTCTGTTGGAGTTCTGAATTTTTTATCTGTCATCTTGTTTTGTTGCATTTTCTTCAATCAACATTGTGAAGTTAAATTTCTTACAAGTATACAAGAAATCATGCCCCTAATGATTGGAACAGGTAAAAATGGCTGGAGAGTTGAGCTTTCTCACAATTCTAGGGGTGGAAGTGGTGGCGGCGGGGGCGGTGGCCGTGGTGGGGGGCGTGGCCGTTCTGGTTCTGATTTAAAATGCTACGAGTGTGGTGAACCTGGCCATTTTGCCCGTGAGTGCAGGAACCGTGGAGGTTCTGGAAGGCGTAGGAGTCGCAGTCCCCCTAGATATCGCAGGAGCCCAAGCTATGGTAGAAGGTAATAAGGAAAATTGAATATAAGAATGTGGTCATTAATTAGATTAATGTTCGACTTCTTTTAATTTTAGTTGAATGTTTGTATGACACTGTTGATTGAATCAGGAGTCTCAGTCCTCGTGGCCGTTCTCCTCGACGTCGAAGTTTGTCACCCAAAGCTCGTGTCTACAGCAGGTCTCCTTACCGTGGAAGAGATGAGGCACCATACGCCAATGGGTGAAGTCTTTATGTTCTAATCTCAATGCTTATTTATCTTACTACAATCCATTAATAACTCCGAAAGGATATTTATCATAAGGGATTTTTATTTTTCAGTTGTCAGATTGGATTCATGTTTCTCTGGAAGTATTTAATAGATGTCTCTGTGCTTGAATATTCTTGTGAAATATTTTAGGGTGGTTGGGATGGCAGTAGACAACTGTAGTTGATCATACTAGTAGTATGAATGGATTTAATATGCTTGAACTTTCTTGGAATGATGTATTTTTAACTTTTATCTGTTTGCTTTACAGATGTTTGTTTACTTGATGTCCTTGCACTCGGTCATCACATTTGTTATCTGGATACAACTTGGAAATCCATAGTCCCTTGTCAATATATAGCACTTACTACATACTATTTTACGTTCTTCTGCTGCTTATCTAATGAAGTTCTCTGAATCTTCATTTTTTTTTTTGCTGTTTACCATTAGATCTTAGCCTGTGGCTTCTGTTTTTAATATGGCATATTGTGCACAGTGTACTTAGTTACTTTCGCATTTTGTTCTCATGCAGAAATGGCATTAGGGATCGACGCAGGAGCAGGAGCTGATCACTGGAAATTTAAAATAATCTGAATCTGTCCAGAAGCTTTTGGAATTTTGTTTTTACTGTGCTTGGACTTAGTTACGACTGTGTAAGTGGTTTGACCATCTCAGCAAACTCCTGGATTTGGTTGAGTTTCTTTACTACTTAGTAGGTTTGTCACATTATCCTTTTTCCCCCTCCCTTTCCTCTTTAAGGTCTACACATGAACCGCTTTGTAGTTTCTTAAATGTGTTTGGATCTTATAATCATACCTGATATATTACTATTAGAAGCAATTATTCTGATGGAATAATTGTACTTTTGTTTTGTGTCGAGGTGTCTTCGTGGTTCTGCTTCATTGGTTTTGTGCATCTGCACTTGTGGTTTCTTCCTTCATTGCCCTGCTGTGGGATCTTCAATTTGAAAGATTGTGGATCCAAGCTGGCTGCTGTGCTAGATTCTTCTTATGAGTGATTGTCTGCGGCTATGATGTGCCTCACCTCGAATAATTAAATTGTCTGCCGCTATGATGTGCGTCACCTCGAATAATTACGTTGTCTGCCGCTATGATGTGCGTCACCTCGAATAATTAAGTTGTCTGCAGCTATGATGTGCATCACCTCGAATAATTATGTTGTCTGCCGCTACGATGTGCTCACCTCGAATAATTACGTTGTCTGCTGCTATGATGTGCTCACCTCAAATAATTACAGTATTTGATTAGATATAAAGGTCGACATCAAACACTTCTGGCACAGATCTCTGACCTGCCCCCTGAGTTATCTGCTAGATCCTTCTTCTGCTTGGGTCCTTTCCACGTCTTTTATATTGTGATGAACAAGCGTCATGTGGAAGTATACTGCAAGGTGCTCACGTTTCCCCCCATCCCCCTATTGAAACTATATTGAAGTCGATTTTCTTGTCTTGCCAAAATATCCTTTTTGTTTGCCAAGAGATGTGGATGAAGCTTTTCTCAGTTTTATGTGAATTTGAGATAGGATAATAAATTCTCTTTTTTTTCCATCTCGTCACAATCAAGAGCTCAAACTTTGGAAAAAGAAAAACCTCAGTTCATTAGTTGTTGGCAATTTGCAACTACTTGTTATATCCTCATTGAGATCACATTTTTGCTTTGTTAGAGTTTTCTATAAAAAGTATATTGGGTCAGATTAGTGTGTTCATGCGACTTATTTTAGTTCAGTGTCTTCCTTTAGCTGTCAAAATATAGTTGTTTGTACCCATTTGCCCTTCTCCTTTGGTGCGACTCTATTGGCATTTTGATGAAGATATCAGCAAGCCAATTAAGAGGTCCTCGCCCAGAAAATCTCATCATTGGTGCTTACTGATTTTCGTCGTTGCTGATATCCTACTTCAAATTTGAGGGTTATCTAGCTTCACCGTCCAGCGACCTGAATTTTATTCTATTTTCTGTTTGTTATTTTCTTAAAATTTGAGTTATATGTTTATCCCTGCATTTGCTCCCTTGGGTAGAAATGTTGTCATGGATGAGATCTTTCNNAATGTTGTCATGGATGAGATCTTTCGTCATTTTATGTGCTTCAATTTTTTAAGTATTGTTTGGTTTGCTATGTAGCAAATAGGCGTAAAATACGAATGATTGGCTCTCTGTTCTGGGATAAATCTATGCGTACATAATTATTGTACATTATGGATTACATAAATTTATATGTAACGTTTGAGCTCTTATCTTACATTTGGCTATACAAATTTATATTTATAAAATTGTTTGAATTCAATTAAAATTCAAGCTAATATAAAATCGTGTCATGTTGGGAATTTAGATTAATTTTTGATTTGTTCATAGGATCCTTGTGCAATAAAAGATTAAGAAATTATAAAAATATACTATAAAGATTTTATAATTCTGCTATGTTGGCAGGAGGGTTTGACACCCTTCTTGACAAACACCTCACGATGAGAGGAGGATTGTTTCAACTTTTTTTATTCACATGGGTCTCGAATGAGTCCCACTTCCAGAGGATGTCAATTTTTTTTATTTTGTGCAAAGAAGTTTAATTCAAGAATTTATGTGGAAAACTATGGAATAAGAGAAAAGTCACGAATTGAGGAGTAGAGATAAATCTTATTTATTATCGATCTATTTATACTATTCAAAAAATGCTAGCAAAGCTTGCAGAAAGCGACCAGACTGCTTTTTAAGGTCAGTCTTCGTACAAGTTGCAATTTCTTCACTTTTCTTCTCTCATATTACAAAGGTCGTGTGGGCCAGAAGAACTGTAAAAAGAAAAAAAAAGTATATATATATATATACACTAGGTGCAATCAACGTGTAATGTACGTTTGCATAGTTTATAT